TGTGACAAGGGAGCCTTTTTTAACAGGGAATTTCTGACTGTGTGAAGGGGCGTTAGTGATGGTAGTTTTCCCCTAGACCCACCTATGTCTCACTTGCCCTGGCAGCCCCTCTTGAACTGTGGTAACAGCAGCCATGTTGTCCATGAGTATTCCACTTATAGGCCTCATACCCGTCTCCTTCAGTGCCTCATTTCCAGATGACCTCTTCCGGGTGACTGGCAGTGTCTAACTCTCAGCTTGGGAGTCAGGGCTGTAGTCATCCTGGCTGTGGGTTCTATCATAGCCAGCTTCAATGTCCTATTTCCCACCCCCAAGTGACTGGGTTCGGGGCATGTGGTTGCAGTGAGTGGCGGCCCTGGATCTGATAGCAAGGACAGTGGTGAGCTCAGCTCACTCCCGCTGGGCCCAACAGCACTGGACACTCGGCCACTGCAGTCTTCTGCCCTGCTGGACAGCAGCAGTAGCAGCAGCAGCAGTAGTAGCAGCAGCAGCAATAGCAGTTCATCTGGACCCAACCCTTCTACCTCCTTTGAGCCCATCAAGGCGGATCCCACAGGCGGTGAGTACTTGTCCCATTGGGAGTGGGGACAACCCAGCCTTAGCCAATTCTAGGTCAGAAACAGAATTGGGGCTGGAACCCAGCTTTCCTATCTCCTCAGCCAGAGCTGACTAGCACAAGGGCAGCCTTTGTCATCAATCTTGCCTAGACTAGAACTCTGCCAGCCAGAGTGAGGAGCTTGACCTCCGGCTTCAGTGCTGGTGCCCCTCTGTCCCCCCATACTGGTCTCACACAGAACTTCCTGGCCGTCTCTTTAGCCCTGCTTGCCACCCTTGGACTCAGGTCTCAAGAAGGTGAAAGCACTCTCTTGGGGAAGGGCTGTGGTATGGCCCTCCGGCTCCAAAGATGAGCAGCGCCTTCCCAGGAGAGGTGATGTTATCTGCCTGTGGAGTTCCATCTCTATCCTGTGACTTGAGTGTTTTCTTTTTCCAGGACTTAATTCTCCTCAGCCCATAAGCACTGCTGTCTTCCTCACTAAATGACACTTTGCCCTCTGTGTCCCCCTCTTTTACCTTCCCTGTCTCCTCTCTGTCTGTACTCTGAAAAGGTCATCTCCACTCCACTTCATATCTTGGTCTCCTAGTCACTCTTCTTCTGGTTGCAGCAGTCAGGACCCCTGTATCCATCTCACACACTATGCTCTTGATAAGTTGCCCAACCCTGATTGCCAGCTCCAGTGGATTTTGAGGCCGATGTGCTCTGATGCTCTCTCGCTTTGTATTGATGCTTTTTTCCTCCTTTGGCTTTAATGATGCCAGTTCTTGGCTCTTCTTTCACTGGCTTCCCTTCTGACCTCTTCCCGGTGCTTCCTTAAACATTGACACTTACCAGTTCTTTGTCCCATTCCACACCTACAGAGGGCTAGATGAACCCCCAAGTGACTGGGTTTGGGACATGTGGTTGCAGTGAATGATGGCCTTGGATCCCATAGCAAGGACAGTGGTGAGCTCAGCTCACCCCTGCTGGGCCTGACAGCATTGGACACCAGGTCACTGCAGTCTTCTGCCCTGCTGGACAGCAGCAAGAGCAGTCTAGGTCTTGCCTAGGTTTTTTGCCTAACCTCCACACTTGTGTCCACGAGCCTTCCTCTGCACATCCAATGGGCACTTCATTCCCATGTGTTCCAGCTCCTTCTCCCTCCTTCTTCTGTCCCCATCTCATATCAGTTAAGTGAGTTCTATTCCAGGTATCTCTCTCTTTTTTTTTTTTTAAACGTATCTTTATTGATTTCAGAGAGAGGAAAGGAGGGGGAGAGAGAGAGATAGAAACATCAATGATGAGAGAGTCATTGATCGGCTGCCTAGCCCACAACCTGGGCATGTGCCCTGACCGGGAATCGAACCCCGATCTCCTGGATCCTAGGTCGATGCTCAACCGCTGAGCCACACCTAGCCGGGCCAGGTATCTCTTATATCCTCAACACTCAGTATCACTGCCAGCCACTGCTATTGTAAATTCTTCAGTGTCCCCCTCTTTACCGCAACTGACCAGGGTCCGAAACACAGCCAGACTGGCATTCCTCTGTTTACAAAAGTACCTTTAATGGCTTCCTAAGGCTGCTGGATAAAACCAGAGCCCCTAGACCTAGCATATGACATCCCTGGTGATCTAGCCAGCCCAGCACTCCTCTTCAGCTTCATTTTCCACTGCTTTATATATGCATCCTTGCAGTCAGACTTTTGTAGCAGGGTTGTCACCCTGTAGCACTAGCCCCTGTTGAACTGTCTGTCTCCTCCTTTGCCAGGTAACCCTGCTCAGGTGTGGTGTTTGAGCCTGGCACCAAGGAAGTGCTCAGTAAGGGTGGGGATGGACAGGGCATTCTCCATCAGACAGGATTTCCTCCATCAGACAGGGTATGCATGCTGAGCCCAGAAAGGGAGGAGGGCTGCTTGCCTTTCTGCAGCACTTCTGAGTCACAAGGGCTGTATCAGTCACCTGCAATGAGCCTTTGTATACTGGGCTCAGCACTGAGGAATTTGGGTCAGCAAGGGAGACCGACAGACAGTGCCAGCTTGGCTTGGGGCAGGACCTTCATCTCTTCAGCTGTGTGGAGCCCCAGGGTGGGTGGTATAGGATCGGAGAAAGTTGGGAGCTAGAGTAGGATCAGGTTGGACCTCTGTGCCCTTGAGCATGGCTTTCTTGTCTTTCAGTTCTGGAACTCCCCAAAGAGCTGTCAGAAATCTTTGATCCCACACGAGGTAGGGCTGTGTTCCTCCTTGGGGCTGGGGTAAGGGGCACAGCTTCTTGGGTCTTACAGCTGTTTTCTTGTCCTTCTGAGGACCTATAGTTGTAGTTGGTACCTGGACATAGTGTAAAAGTTCCTGATGGTGGGGGGGTAGGGGGGCCTTCATGGGCTTTGGTGGGTGGAGAGGCAGGAGCCAGAATGTAACTGAGGTCTCCCTCCTTCCCCAGAGTGCATGAGCTCGGAACTATTGGAGGAGCTGATGTCCTCAGAAGGTGGGTGGCCCAGGAAGGTGGGGGTTTGGGTATGGACAGGGGGTTGGGCAGCTGTTGGGTGGGGCCTTGGCCTCAGGCCTCAGCTTGGTGCTCTCTGCAGTGTTTGCTCCCCTTCTCCGCCTTTCTCCGCCCCCTGGAGACCACGATTACATCTACAACCTGGATGAGAGTGAAGGTGTCTGTGACCTCTTTGATGTGCCTGTTCTCAACCTCTGACTGTCGGGGACATGCCCTGTGTGGCTGAGACACAGACTGTCTAACCTGAGGCTGCTTGGGGACCTCCCCACATTTCACCCCTACACACAGCTTGAGAGCCACAGACTTCTGGCTTCCCCAGCCTTCCCTCACTGCACAGTTCTGGCCAAACTCCCAGTCTTGTACCGACACCTGTATTGTGCTGGGAGAACAAGTGAAAGGGGCTCAGCTCCCTCCGTGGTGGAGCCAGAATATTTGCCTCTCCTTTTCTGGAGCCTTCCCCCACTTTGTATCCTCCCTGTGCTCTCCCTGAGCCCAGGCTCTGCTGCCACCCAGTGTCACAGAATGAGGACCCACATTCACTCCATAGGGCAGCTTGTCTAACACCCCTTGCCCTGTTCCTGCCAGCTCCTCCCCCAACTGGGGTGGAGCTGGGCACTTGCCAGCACCACTTCTAGCTTCCTTCCCTTCTCTCCACCCCTTGACCCTACAGCTCCACCTGGACCTTTTCTGCCCCCCTTCTGCCTGGTCCTTAGCCCTGGCAACCTGTAGGTGGTGTTGGGGGTGGGGCTAACAGGAACAGAGGTCTCTAGCTAGGAATCTGGGCAGGTGAGTCCCTGAGGGTTGGCCCAACTTCCCGCTGCCCTATAGCCCCTCTCTTGTTTATTCATTTATCCTCATTTAGAGCCATTTGCAGAGATTTAGAAAGATTTGCAGTAACAAATGGATTCCTATATAAAGATTATTTTTATACTTTTTGCAGCAAAAGGAAATTGTAATATTTGTACAGTGTCCAAGTGAATAAAGATCGTGCCTAAGGCTATTTCTTGTCTGGTTCTTTCGGGGCCCCTCCCTGGGCTGCTGGATTGGTGGTGGGACTGGGTGGGTCACCTTTTCTGGAACTGGAGGTGTGGCAGAGCCAAGAGCCCGCCCTCCCAG